GGCACAGTGTGTATATCTCAACAGAACAGAAAAAAAATGTGATTGGTGAGAAATTGACCATCTCATACAAAAAAATCCTACAGCGACTAAATTAATATATCACTTCTTAAAGATGACAGTAGTGTAACAGTTTTTATTTACCGTCATTTGATTTACTATATTCAGCAAAATACCAGGCATGATTATTTTGTTGACCACATTGCTCAATTGTTGTTGGGAGTGTTGGTAATAGTTTCAATTTTTGTAGAAATAGAATCGTGCTCTTACTTGTTGTAGTCATTTCATGAATTTTTCGTGAGGTTAGTTTATCGAGATCATCAATTTCAATATTAACATCCATTATAGTCGTTTTGAAAATATTAAAGTCAAATCAAGTAAAACAATCACTTTTATACTCAAGAACATTATTGTGAGACAAATTGATAGATTCTGTACCTTTTTGATTTCGAACATTAATTTCTTGTAATTATTTCCACTTTGATATTAGATAATACTGCAGTAGTTTAAAAAAATTCTTCATATATAAACTATTAATTATCTCTATTTTGTCTCATATACTACTGTCATCTTTAAGAAGTGATATATTAATTTAGTCGCTGTACAATTTTTTTTATATGAGATGATCAATTTCTCACCAATCACATTTTTTTTCTGTTCTGTTCATATATACACACTGTGCCTAAAGTGTAGTAGTACCAAGTAAAGTTTCTATTACTGTTAAATTTTTATTTTCGTCTGACAAATAATGCATTGTTACAAAGTCAGTCCACATTTTATCTACTATCAACTTGTGTCCAATAAACATAGACGGTGGAGCCACAAACACTGAGTAAACCAAAGCCTACCCTAGACTCACGCACACTTTGTAGGCTAGGGTATGATCAAACACTTTTCTCCTTTCCTATAATAATATTTTCTTAATCAAGTAGACATAAGAAAAGGTTTTTGAAGAAATATTGAGTTTTGTACAAGTAAATATTGAATCATACATTGACAATGACTTTAAATGGAGACACTTCATTACAAATGAAGAAAGAAGATCTTGTTAGCTCTCGTTTTGGGGATTATGTAGCAATGGTAGAACTAATATTTAGTCTGCCAAAATTAGAGAGTTAAACATGTTTTAATAATCGACTTTGTCGTCGTGTCATATATAGAATATATTGAGTATCGAGTGATCGATACGATAGAACATTAAACAACTGCGCAATAACGAAAGACAAAAAGATAATCACGAGATGAATCATAGTTGAGAGATTACGTAACAAATCAAATCAGAGATTCAAAAAATAGATAACATAAGA